CTGTTAAAGTACACTAGCCACCGACCATTTAAAAATCATCATACACACACACACACTTTTTTTTAAAATATCATTCTTCATTTTGCACATTTTTTCATCTGGGCTGTAACTCCCATGAACTTTCCACCAATTCACCCATGTGCCATCACCATAGTCACATGTACTCTTCCCACCCCGTTTTGATTTTATTCTCCCCTCTACCCCGGTAGAGTATCTCTGGTTTATAGCTGTGTGCTGATTTTCATTTTTACTTTACTACAATTGCTTTTATTTCTCCTAACATTTTATCTTTTCTTTAAAAAGTGACATCCATTTCAAATTCAACAGTAAGGTTCAGAATGAAAAGTATGTTGTCAACACCCCCCCATAAACTCCTTAAACAACACTATCAAGGTCCCTCTCTGGTGGCACAGTGAGTTAAAGCACAGCACTAAGAAGCTAAAACCACTTCAGCATGAGTTTCGATCCCCGCCCCGGAGGTAACCCACATGGCGCGGCAGACCTCTCCTGACCTGCCCACTGCTCCCTGCAACAGTGTACTTCGCCGATTTGTCTATTCTGCTCCCTACTCTGCCTCTGGTGAATCCTCTCACCGCCCCGGCACCTCTGGCCTGTACCCCGGTTCTGTATGCACAAATAAATAAATCTTTTTTTTTAAAGATTTATTTATTTGTACATACAGAACCGGGGTACAGGCCAGAGACTCAGAGGTGGCGAAAGACTTCACCAGAGACAGAGTGGGGAGCAGAACAGGTAGATCGACGAAGTACACTGCTGAGGGGAGCAGCGGGCGGGTCAGGAGAGGTCTGCCACGCCATGTGGTCACCTCCGGGGCAGGCGGGAATCGAACTCATGCGGAAGTGGTTTCACTGCACTTCTTAGTGCAGTGCTTTAACCCGCTGCGCCACCAGGGAGGGCCCAAATAAATAAATCTTTAAAAAAAAAAACTATCAAATTCCTTTTCTACAAGCTCTCCCCACTATCCCAAAGTAGATGATTCTTATTTGGTTTGATTTGGTAGGTATTTTTGAGATCTAAGAATAATCAAAAATTTTCCACAGAAATTAATTTTCCAGACCAGACCCTAAAGCTAACCTACCAAATCAGAACAAAGAGAAGCGGTCTACTTTGATTGCAGGTTAGACCTTCATGCTTACAAAACCTTCCACACAAATGATTTTTGCACTGTGCTCTGAATTTTGCTTTTCGACTTACTTAACAATTTCCTATTGGTAGATACATAGGTTGTTTCTCCAGCTTTTGCTACCGTAATTTATGATACACAAAATACCTATGCAGCTATTTTAGAGTAATTCCAAAAAATGTTTGTAGGGTAAATTTCTATCTATGGAATTTCTGGGTCAAAAAGCATGTATGTTTATGTTGTACACCTGAAGTCAATAAAATGTTATATGCCCATTATATCACAGTTTGCAAAAAGCAAAAGCAGCAGTAAATATTGGGGTACCCATTGCTTAGTTTCCTGAGACTGTAGGGCATGTTCCCTCCAGTCAGAAAAGGATGCTTACAAGTTTCTGTTTGGGAGATAGGGAACATCAAAAATTATAATAATTGCAGCCATCAAGGAGTTCTTATAAAAGAGGGTGGGAAAGCGTGTACTTTTTATCTTGTTATACCAATTTGCAACCCCAAAATATACCAATTTTATTCCCATCCACAGTAAGAACGTCTACTTCCCTCACAGGCTTGTAGTCAAAATATGCACTGAAATCTCCACATCTGCCCACTGATGATGGGTTTTAGTGTCTTAACATGCATCTCCCTGTGATAGCCTTTCTTACTCATTTCCTCCCATGACAGGTGGCTCTGTGTTTGAACACTGGTCTCCCCCCTCATTTCAGGGGGGAAATCCCATGTATCTAACCCTTCTGGCTTCTGGGCTATTCCCTTCTTGGAATGCTCTTCCTAAATCACACCACCTCTGGCCCAAACCTAGCTAGTCACCTCCACATTCAGCGCCCCTCACTGCTTTCCTCCATTCTTATGGCTGAACAAGATTACAGAAAGAACCCAGGACAAAGTGTTGGGAGCAGGCTACAGAGGTAATATAATGACACAGTCATGAAACTGTGGTAAGAACACAAGTGTCCTTACAAACTAGACAATTTTAATTTTAAATTCCGCAGAAATGTAGGAAGAGAAAATCAAGTACATCTCCCAGAAAATGATACTTAAGATAAAAGAGAAAATTAAAATGCTCCAAAAGGTCTGACTTCTGATATAATTCCAGGCACAGAACAGCAATCAGTGAGACAGAAATCCAAGGCATACTCCTGCACTGAGAAGTGGGTGAAGCTGACGTCTCTAAACCCATTCACAGGCTTGGGATAGCCAGAGCCCCACAGGGCACATCATAGAACCCACGCATTCCAAACACTCAGTTTACAAGGTTCTAGAAATAAAGGGATGTTGTTTGAGAAGCAGAATTAGTGAGTCTAAGGCTTCTTGTCACTGATAAAGGGGAATAATATTCCGTAATATGACATTGGGCACTGTGCACAAATAACATGCGTGCTGTACCTGTCAGCTGTCTGTCACAGACAGCTGCTGGCATTCTAACCAAGGTAGTCAGCAGAGCAAAAGCTCATATGGGAAAAACTCTAATGTCTGCATGCTAACAATTAGTTCACCTAATAAACACACAAACTATCATAATTATCATGGAGGAACATCCATCATTACAACGAAGTTCAACCTTGCGCAATAGAAAGCTTAAAATACAACACAGTATGTGATGTTAAAGCACTATGAAACTAAAGCTAATGAGCTGAAAGATCAACCCAAAAAATGGCATGGCTGATAACTAATACAGACAGGAGCCAAGGGATCCAGCCTTCTACTAAATCATCTCAGAGGAGTAAGAGCCCATGGTTCACAATCCATGGTGGAGAAATCCCTTAACTTAAGGCGAAGGGGAAACTCAAAATACTTCAGGCAGCAAGATACTTTACTTATTCTACTTCCACCCCCATAAGACAAAGCATCCAGGTGTCCGGAGACTGCACAACATTATATGGAATGCCCTTCTACTTCAGGCAGAGCTATAAGGCCTCCCCAGGTACAAAATGAGTCCTTAGAGGAGATTCATAAATGGTCTTCATATGCATCCCTCCTTATAGATTTCAAACCTAAAATCTGCAAATATCTAGACTTTTACTAAAAGCCTCCAGAAAAAAATCACTTCTAAAAGCTGTAATTTCAGAATAAAAGCTGTTTTCCATTCAACCTCCTAAGTCAAAGAATAGTTCATTTCTATCACAATGTCTTCACATTTTGGAAAATACTGTTTGATTCAAAATCCTCTCTAAAAACAACTATTATCATCAGGAAGCACCCAAGGTTAATTTCTTGTCGAATAGTTATCCTACAAAAGAGTCACAGTATATTAAATAAACATTGTATTAGAGACTATGCTTAAGAGGCTAATACAGCAGGAAACCTAATGGCTGGAGTAGGCTGAAACAGGCCTCATGAAACTCGGTCAACAACAGCAAGATTCCCCTTCAAGATTTAACCGTATCTCTGCACAGTTCTAGTCAAGAACTAATTTAACTGGATTTATAATTTCCCTAATCCATAAAGCACCTACCATAAGTTTGAAAACTATGTTTATGTTAAGTAGCCCATCACACCACACCTACATTCTTGATAAGAGTTATGGCCATAGAGTTTGTTCATTCAGTTTTGGGGTTTCATTGCTGAACCCACACCCAGCTCAAAAATATAACAATGATTTAATGCCTTATACAATCTTCCTGAGATTACTTAGTACCTTGAGTGAAAGAAAGGTCAAAACAAGAAATATCTGTCTCTGTCAGCAACTTGTCCCAGAGGCTGCACAAGGAGGCCCTTCTCCAGCCTTTGAAATACTCCAGAATACTTACATCAAACTGCTTCCTCTTCTTCTTTTTAAAGATTTATGTTTGGGCCCTTCCAAGTGTCACAACGGGTTAAAGCACAACACTATGAAGCTATCCACAGCCACTATAGCATGAGTTCAATACCCAGCCAGGAAGGTGACCCATATGGCTTGGCAGACCTCTCCTGACCTCCCCACTGCTCCCTTAAGCAGTGTATTTCAATAGATCTGCCTATTCTGCTCCCCACTTTGTCTCTGGTGAATCCTCTCAACCCCACACTTCTGCCTGTACCCTAGCTATGTATGCATAAATAAATCTTTAAAAATACATATTTTTATTTACACATACAAGAACTAAGATACAGACCATCAGTGCAGGGCAGGGTGGTGGTGGTGAGAGGATTTATCACAGACAGAGTGGGGAGCTAAACAGCCGTATCTACTGAAATACACAGCTGAGGGGAGCAGTGGGCAAGACCGGAGAGGTCTGCTGCGCCATGTGGGTCAGCTCCCTGACCAGGGATTGAACTCGTGCTGCAGTGGCTGGTGACACTGCACCAACCAGGGAAGCCCCTCAAACTGATTCCACTGTCTCTGGTGAAGCCTCTCGCCGCCCCTGAGCCTCTGGCCTGTACCCCAGTTCTGTATGCACAAATAAATAAATCTTTTAAAAAAAAAGAGATCTTAGAGGTAAAACCATGCCCAGAATCACTCACTGAGCTGCATGAGTAGGACCTGAAACACAGCATTGGCAAAGCATACCTGTGCTTGCTGATGGCTGAATTCTGCCATCTTAAGGTGAAATTACAGAAGCATTCCACTATGGAGTCACCGCTTCTGTGTCCAGTGTGGTCCCGCACATGGGCTCTGAGACCCAAATGCCCTGCTACACAATTGCATCATCAGCTAACAAAAACCAGCTGAGGTCCTGTGTTTGATGACATGGACATCAGAGAAATAACACTAAAAGGAAATTGTACATATAAGAGGCTTCCTATTTTAGATAACATGGACCCACACATAAACTCCCACTGAAAAGTTATCAGTGGTAAAGAGTAAAGATTGGGTATTTTCCCTCTCAATTAAGTAGTTAATCAGATAAGAACAATGAAAATGCATGAAACTTTTTATTGAGGCACAACAAGGCATGGTAACTCGCCTGAACTTGAGGCAGTCAGTTTAGTAAGCTGATACAGTTAAGGGCTAAGTGCAAACAAGGTACATTCACAGCTTGACTAGTGAGGCTACGTCACAATAAAGTGCCAGGTAAGTGCTCATTTTCATTCAACCTGCAATTTTTCACCTTGGGGAGGCAACAACAACAACAACAACAACAAAAGAAAACAAGGACCTCCTCCTTTCTCTAAAAATGAAAACATTTTCCTCAACTGACCGGCTCAGGGTAAAGCCTGTGTCTTCTTTAATCCCACTAACGAGAACACCATCCTTTTACTCTCGACGCTATTCTGGCTCTCAATCTTGATAAAGGAGGTAGCCTGAAAAGGTGGAGTACTTCCAGCTACTTCCATAGATTGCACCCCTGTGCAGGCGCAGCCAAATCTGGTCTCCTTGGAAGAGCTGAAGGACTGCATGGTTGCTGGCTGTCTCATGGTCCGGGGCACCATCATTGGCATAGGCAGACACCAGGACCTCTTCATTCTTCATGAGGTTGACATACAGTGGCACGTTCACAGCCAGCTTCAGCATGTGAAAAATGAACACGTATGTGCCGTTCACTGGGCAATGAAACCTGCCAAGCTGTAAGTCAAAGGTCTCTCCCAAGTTGTTCAGGAGCAAGTCAAATACGATGGGCTGGTCCAGCGTTCCTGGGGCCAGGTTGGAGGTTCTGGCTGCAGAGAAGGCCACACGCATCTGCTGTGGCAGGGGGTACACGTGCACTGGCAGAATGGCTGCAGGGCCTGTAGTCGGCATGTCCACAGGGGTCATGCTGCGGGAGTCTCCATGTCCAGAGTCACCGCTGTTGAAGATTTCAGAAGTGTCTCGTTCAGGGCTGCTCATCTGGGAAGAGTCACTCCACCCTGCCGTTTTATTAGCAACAGTGAGTTTTTTGTAATGAAGCAGTTAGCTTGAACACAACACTTAACATTAGTCGGCTACTAAAACAGAGAAACACAAATCTTATGGTAAATTGCAAAACAAGAGGCTATATAAGTAGAACTAAGTATACATTTCTAAAATTTTCTGGCAGCAGGCCTTAATAACCCCAAGCTAAATCTGAAAGGACCTCAATGATCTTGTCTGGCAGCCTCACTTTTTTAAGAGGATTGTATAACTTAGTTGTAGGCAACAAAGCACCAATCCAGACTTGAGCTCTTTTTATCTCTTGCTCCTTCGCTTGTAACCCTCACTCATGTCTCCTTCGTTTCTCCGTGATAAGTCTATTCAAAAGTATCAAGCATGGAAGTACTCATGGAAACAGATCGCATGAAAGACTGACTTTTTGAGTTGTTAGCCACCAGCCACTCTGAGGGTTCTATTTGGTCCCAGGTCCCTCAAAGCTTGTTTTCTCCAAGTTAACAGGGGTGTGAATGCCCATAAAAACTTTTGCACACAAGGCCAAAGCATCACCACAGTAGTCACGTTCTCATCAGGAAAGGACATTGTTTTCCTGTGACCAAATCAGTCCCCAGAAGGCTTGATTTTTCTCAGTTACACTAAATCTGCTAATAGTCCCTTCATATCTTAACAAGTACTGTACACTTCCTGCTTTTATTTCTACTTGTGTTTATCACCGCTTATTCCTATTTAGCAATGCACTGAACTAGAATGTCGTTATCACAGAACTATCATCTGAAACAGCACATCAAACTAACTGAAGTCAACACAATGAATATGATCTATTGTCTTATCATGCTCTGCTGGCAGTAGGCTCACACTCACGCTCTCTCTCTCTCTCTCTCTCTCTCTCTCACATACACACACACACTTTCAGTCACATCAACATTGAATGTCCACATCTTCTGTCCTTCAGCACTGCAGACTCAAAACCTCACCCAGGTAAATGGGAGGACAATGTGCTCTGACATAACAGGATACAGAGCATTTAGATAGACATTCTGGGTGAACTATTCAGGTAACTGTCCATACCTCTTGAATTTACCCGAGGACCACTGGATGTCCCTCCTCGCTTGTAGCATTGCTGGAAATGATCCTAAAATGGACACAAAAATATTTATCATGGCACCAAAAATGCAAGACAGTAATTACAACTCAGGATTACTTGCTTAATGTTAACTGATCAACTGTAAACATCTGCAAAAATAATACAGTGCTTACAGCAAGTTATGTACAAGATACCAGGCTAAGTAATGAGAGAAAACTGGAAACACAGGCATGGTCCTCTCTCACTCATCTCAGTAGTATCTCAGTAGTCAAGCAAGGAAACAGATTGCTTAAATCTTGCTCTCTATATAAGCCAACAGTAAAACAGTTTTGACAGGGGAATTGGTAAGAATTACATCACATCAATGCAATACTGCCTGAAATGTAATCCTTAAGAAAAAGTGTTTAGGAGGCATTTATATCAAGCTGATTCCCAAGTATGGTAAAAATCAGCCTGTATCATGTCCATAACATGAACTAGCAGTGAAAGTAAATTAACGTGTACTAGAAAATATAAACAGGACAAGAAACTATACAGTAAGAGTAGTTAAATCTCCATACCCTCTCGTCCCCTTCTAGACAGCAGTTATTAATACTGCCTTACGTCTCCTAGGGAATAAACTTAAAGAGGCACTACAAGATTGGTATGACTGATTCCTCCATCACTGATGTGACTATTCTGAAGCGGAGGATGGCGTGGTAACAGCCAACATTTATGAGCATGATATGTGCTGCTACTACTACAAGGCTGAGCAACTGCATTTGTCTCATTTGATCCTGAGAATATCTTGGGCATCCTCACAAGACCTCAGAGTAGGAAGAGTGACTAACAAATGAGGCATCTCACAGATGAGAAGCTGAAGTTCAGCAAGTCTGTCATGCCCAAGGTCATACAATGAGAAGGGTGTAATCAGGGATGACGCCATGTCACTCAGGAGTCTGTTCTTCACCCCTTTCCAACACCACCTCCACAGATGTGTCATCTACAGACCTGTGACCTCTCAAGTGCAGGCACTTCCTATAGTTCAGCAAAGCTTATCATGATGCCACACCCACATGCACACAGGGCTGCACATGTGCAAAGGCTCACCTTCCACACTGAAGGTGCTGGCAAGGTCAGTGCAGAGTCATACGTCCTCTCCAACTTTTTAAAAAGGTACCTGTTGTACTTGTTGCCTAAGCAAGTTCAGTGAATACAGTATGGTGGAATGAAGACCAGCAGACCCTAGAGGGAAGAGCTGCCTCTGGCCTTTGTTCAACCATTTCCTTGAAGACACACCTGACTAGTGATTTAACTTGCTCCTCAGCCCCAGTTTCTCTTGCAGGAGTAAATGAGCTCACTCTAACAGCCACATGCAAGTCCTTCAGAACCAAAGAGTTCCAGGCATTGTAATAGGTGATTGTCACTTATCCCCCTGGGGTTAGTGCACAACCCTCCTCTCAAGTCTCCACACCACTTATAAGCAGTTGAAAAGGAAGAGTGCCTTCTATAAGACAAACCAGGACTGCTGCAGTTCAATCAACCAGCTTAACGACGGCTACTGCATTACCACATAGCTCTTCTTACCCTTTGGGAATAAGGAGTTCCAGGGTACTCTCTAGCTTGGGACTGTAGCTGGCTGTAATTTCCATTGGAAACTGAAGGAGGTCCTCGATAAGCATCGAAGCCTAACAAATAAACAACATGAAATTACAAAATTATACCAAACGTCTAGTCTAGGTCAATTCCACTTCAAAAGTTACACAGATTCTACAATGTTATCATTTGATTTATGGTTCTTTAAGCAAGTGGTACTATTACTGCTTCCACAATAAAACACATTCATAAAATGTTGTAGCTTCATGTCAGCCAAGTGCAGAAATGCTCTGCTGTTGGAATGCAGGTGCAACAGCATTTAGACATCTGTCAAGAGAGCACCTGCCAATAAATAACAAGCAGCAACTGGAATATCAGAAATCACATCAAAGATGTATGATAACATCACTATTTTAGTGTCAAAGTTTGTGTTCTTTTCTGTGGAATACACTCTGATAGGCAAAAAAAAAAAAAAAGGAAAAAAAAAGGAAAAAGTACACCATCTATTATGACATATTTCTGAGAAGTTAGTCAATGAGAAATGTTATTCAAATATGAAAACCAAAACTCATCCCTAGAAAAACAAGATTCTCAACTGTTCTATTCCATAAGTCATAGGGTCATCTGCTTTGTACAAAAAGTTCACTGTTTCAGAGAACAGGTATGTGGAAAATGCTGTATTTTGCAGAAATAGGGGCTTCTCTGTTGTGTACTAAATGGAAACCACACACACAAAAGAACAAGGTAAAACTAAAGTTTGACTCAAGTAAATACCGAATGTGATTCAGAGCCTACCTTTATAACCACCAGGGGACCGGTAGGAGTTGGTCAGCAGCAGCCGTCCTCCACGAGGACAGCCTCTAGCAAGCCCTCGACTACTAACATAGGGCTGTGAGGGCCTGGGAAACACAGTAGGTTGCGTGGGGTAGAAGGCGAGGCCGCCGCTTACTTGAATAGCTCCTTCAGTGTAACCTGCTGCTTAGGGAAGCAAGTCAAGTCCAAGAGTGAAATGGTCATAAAGATTTCAATGTCTTTATTCTTATAAATCACTGTATCAAAACCTTCAATACAAATTTCTCTTAAAAAAATGAAACAAAACACCAGGACCATATATATGTACATATATATAGCCTCTCCATGCATATAACATTGTAAAATAAGAGATCCTTAGCCTTCCATGTTACCAATCAGACACCTGCTGCACATCACACAGAGACAGGTGGTTACAGGAGGCAGACACTGTGCAGTCCTACTCCTGTGTGCCAAGTGTGCAGGTGTCCAATTCACAGAGACAGAGTACAATTGTGGGGTCTGGGGCTAGGGGAATCAGTGCCAAACAGGAAAAGACTCCCCGTTGGGGAAGATGAAGTCCTAGAAATGATGGTGCTGGCTGAACAAAATCAGTATGTACTTAATCCAGAAAACCACACACCAAAAATGCTCAATCTTATTATGTATATTTTACTACAATTAAAAACACACACACACACACACACATTCCAGGTCAAGGAGGAAAGAAAATGCATTTTAATTAATATTCTAGTTAGGAAAGCATATGGCAAAAATATGCTTTCTGTCTATCACCTGCCCTGTACTGGCATGACACAGCTAAGACAGGCCAAGATCAGCAAGGTTCAGGGAGCTATGTCTTTTCATTCTTTGATCACCTATGGCCTCAGACTGCTCAATTTGTTTGCTCAGGCTTGAGATTTAGAACACAAAATTGCCTTTGTTTTCATAATAGACTCCTTCTAAATTAAACCTTCACTTTAATCAACGTTTCACTATAAAAAAGAGAGAAGACAATGAGTCTACAGTCCTCACTGTCCATAGTGAGGGTCACAGAATATCTCTAACACCTTTCTAAGGCAGCGAGCCAGGGCCGAGTCTGCCTCTCACTGTGAATGGCCATTAACAGCAATCAGATTTGAAGCTACAAGCATAATTCAAGATTCACACAACTGGCTCAATTCTACCTCATTAGTGCTAAAATTAACAGACAAACATTAAGTGTTCCTCAGCACTTGTGCATGTGAGGGACAGTGCTGACTAATCAGGTGAGCCTCTGAAGGGCACTACAATTCACTTCCCATTCAGTGACACCATGTCTTAAGAGTGTGTGGGACACAAGTCTCACCCAACTCCTGAGAAAGGGCAGGCGGCTCCAGATGCATGGCAGGCAGCTGGCCCTGGGGTGGTGTCTGTGTGCTCGCTGTGGTGAAACTCTGATTGCTGTCCGCGGGATATGGGGATGCTTTCATCTCCTGTTCTTTTCGTGAAGTTGGCAGTGGTGCATTCACATTAAATACCTGAGAAGATGAGAGTATTCTAAGCCATTTATGAAGTTTCACAGAAAATGACAAAGGGTGACATCCAATAAAACACAAACATTCAAAAACTATGACTTGATGGGCAGATGATTTGAATAGATGCCTCCTATGAAGATAAAAGGCCACTAAGCACATAAAGAGACACTTAACATAACTAGTCAATGAGGAAGTGTAAGTCTAAAACCACAACAAGATACCACTTCACATTTGCTAAGATAACTATTACTTAAAAAAATTTAAGGGCCCTCCTTGGTGGTGCAACGGGTTGAAGCACAGCACTATGAAGCTAGCCATAGCCACGTCTGCATGAGTTTGATCTCCAGCCAAGGAAGTGACCCACATGGCACAGCAGACCTCTCCTGTCTCACCCACTGTTCCCCTCAGCAGTGTATTTCATCAATCCACCTGTTCTGCTCCCTACTCTGTTTCTAGTGAATCCTCTCCCTGCCCCTCACCACTGGCTTGCACCCCAGTTCTGTATGCATACACAAACAACACTTTTTTAAAAATCTGAACAATTCTCTGAAAACATGCATAAGATCATGGAAATCAAACATGAGTTTGACAAAACACCCAAGGATGTGTCTGAATTTCAGATCACTAGCACTAAGGAAATCACTAGTGTGGTGTGAGTGATGGTGAGTATTAAGTTGTTCCCAGAAAACTGTTCCTCATCCACATATTTCTTAACAATGGTCCTCAGTTTTGTGTGCTACCAATTTTCAGAGAGAAATGTGCTCTCATAAAACACCCACCAAAATTTCAAGGCTGTGAATTTAACATGTTCCACCATCAACACTACTTTCATTGAACGAGTATAAATTTAACCAGTCCAAAGAAAAATACTGCAAAAGGCTGTGCCTTTCACAGTGCCCAGGCACAGATGTGAGTACAACGAGAACTCTTTACCAGAACAATGAGACTTGTCACTATTGCCATCTCATACTCACTGTTTGCATGGCTTGGAAGGATGCTGTGTCAGTGGTCACTGAACTACCACTTGCTGCAGGTGACTGGAAGCCCCGCTCACAGCCCGCTGTCACGGGAGGGTTTGGGGAAGCCAGTGGAGATGGCTGTGTGCTGGGGGGAACTGCTGCCTGGGGAGGAGAGAGGCAGCATCAGCCCATCAGCTGCCCTGTAACAAGTAGTCAACGCACACTGACCCGACCAGCAGAGTCAGCAAGTTGTCCAGGGCGACATCTGGACACAGGGATGCAGAAGAATCACTTCTGCTTAGTTTCAGATCTCAGCTGGGAGGGTGCCCCAGTCCCTGCTCTGCACAGCTTGCTGAGTGAGTCTTACATCATCGGGCCAGGGCCAGCAGATGAGGGGCTGAACTTTGGAGAACCCAGTCCTTTTCAAATCCTGCAAAGAATTTTTCAGTTAAGAGCCTGTATTATTTCAAAGTATACAACAGAATCAGGCTTAAGAAAAACCATGGGTTAGTTGCTTAGGCAATGTCATTTTTTCTCTAAAGTCTTACTAATTGATTTCTGAGTCTATTGAAATCAAACCTAATCTAAGTGATCTTTATCTACAGAAATAAGCAAGGTTCTTGATATAAAAGATTCTAAATGCATAGATTTGAAAAGATACCAAATGCCAGCCCCATTGAGATTATGCAGCTGAAGCAGGTTAGCTTGCTTACTAACAAATATTTACTTTTCTTAAAATGAGGAATTTCAATTAGAAATCATCACCATAAAAACTAATTCTTATCTATATTTTCTTATATTCTATAACGAATATACACATTCTGTATAATAATAACCAAAAAAATTAAAAAAAAAAAACTTAAAAGTGACTAAATTCATCTATTTCTACCTCAAGGAAACTTAGCAGAAACTCTTAGAATTGCAAGGACAGATATAATACTATCAAACTCTTTCAACAGTTTAGTCAAAAGGGACTATAACACTCCAAGTCAGTGAAGATAGTAACAGGATAAGATTACCAAGTCCCCATTTATATGGAATTTTCTCATATGGATTCCCTCAGTACCTACACAGTGAGAAACTTAACATAATCCTGCCTAGAGATCTTCATCTCTCTTAATGTTAGCAGCTAGGATATATGATTGTATCTGACATAGCAATACTCTTTAAGTCCACTCAGATAGCAAAGTCCCAATAAAGCTAGTGTATGTAAGTTTCCAGAATCACAACAGTTAAGGATGCCATGCATCAATGAAATGCAAGTGTTAAATCTCTCATTTCTCCTGCCTGTCATTCATCAGGAAGCTACTCTGTTATTAAGACACCCCCAAAATGGAGACACCTCGTATCTGATTACCTCGGTAGCCTCTGTGGTCGAAAAAGCTGTTTCAGATCCTGAAGGTGCCTGATGGGTGGTGATTATGAAAGCATGTGAGTTACCAGTAACTGGAGGAACAGCAGCCTAGACAGAGGAGATACAAAGGCTCATCAAAGTCACATTCTATTTGCCAGAAGTTCCTGGGCCCTGGGCTTCCAAACAGGGAGTATAAGTACTCATGAGTGGCAGCACTGGGCTGGTGACCCTCAGAGACGCATACATTTCATCTTGTAGAACAGAGAGGGGGAAGACAACCATCCCAGTTTACTAACACTCAGGCAAAGGCAAATATGTGGTGGGCCCAAGATCATACCGAAAATAGGTAACAGAGTTGAGATTCAAGCCCAAGCAACAAATGCCACCACCTTTTCAGAGCTTATCACCAAAGCCACCATAAGGGCCCAACCTCAATTAGTAAGACCCTGACCTGGATACCTGAGGCAACACTACCACTTGAACTGAACAGCAATCTGCTGTGAGGATGAACTCTGGGCATATGTAGCTCTGGAGGCCAAATTCTGACAGGGGCTAAAAGGACTACAGTGTCACCCTAAGTCCTGCAGAAGTAGGCAGAAGCACAAATGAAAGAATGAACCCTATATAAATCACTATGGCCCCAATATTCCTGGTAAGATTAAAAGCTGGGGAGAAAAACACAGTGGGACGTGGCTACAATAGTCACTGACAGACACCCAGAGTGGCTAAGAAAGAATCCCACAGCACAACCAGACAGACCAGTCTCACATACAAATCTCCAAATGCAAGGTCTGAAGTGTCAGCAAACCAACTCCTTTGATCTAAAGGTTTCAATGTTATTCCCAGAGCCAAAGCAATAAAATGGATAAAGTGTTAACTCATTAATAGTAATAGAGCATCAGTGAAGGATGAGGCAGTCAACTTTAAAAAATATATATTTACCACCAAAGAAATAGAAGAACTGCTCAACCAACCTAAAGAATTCAGAAATTCTTTATCTGGTAGGTTGAGCAGTTCTTCTATTTCTTTGGTGGTAAAACAAACAAAATAAAATGAGGCAAGCCATCAAGGGGTTGAAGAATGCAAACAAGGAAATGAATGAAAGAAATGAAAAAAATATGAGACAAGCAATCAGCGAACTGAAGAAAAAAAATGAGACATTAAAAAAGGAAACAGAAGAAATGCAGGTGATGAAAAGGCCTCTAGAAGAGATAAAGAATGCTGGGAAAAGTAATGAAAATAGAATACACGAAATGGAAGAATGAATCAGTACCCTCGAAGACACAGAAACAAAGAGAATTAAAAAAGAAAAAGAAAGAGAAATAAAAAGGAAAAAGAATAAAGAAACACTTCAAGAGCTATCTGACACCATTAGGAAAGGAAACATCAGAGTTATAGGTATTCCAAAAGGCAAAGAGAAAGACCAAGGAATAGAGAAAATATTCACAGAGATAATAGAAGAGAACTTCCCTAATATGAAGGAGATGAAAGTAGACAATAGAAGAGAACTTCCCTAATATGAAGGAGATGAAAGCAGACATCCAAGAAGCAAGAAGACCCCAAACTACCATGATGAGAGGAGAAAAACAGCAAGACATATTATAATAAAACTTCCAAGATTACAAGACAAGGCAAAGATAATGAGAATGACAAGAGGGAAGAAACAAATAACATAGAAAGGGAAACCGATCTGGATGACATCAGACTTCGAAGAAACCCTACGGGCAAGAAGAGAGTGGAGGGACATACTCAACAAACTCTAAAGCATTAAATGCCAACCAAGAATACTCTACCCAGCAAAGCTCTCCTTCCTCTACGAAGAAAAAATAAGGACATTCTCAGACAAACAGAAACTCCACAATATCATCAGGACTAAACCCCCACTCCAAAAACTACTACAAGAAGCCTTCAAACCAAATCCAACAGAAGAATGAACAAGAACAGTTCAAAACAAGGAATAAAAATACAGAAGGACCATAATGTGAATGTAAGTGCCAGTATATCAATATTATCTCTAAATGTAAATGGCTTAAACTCATCAGTAAAAAGACAGAGTTGCAGGATGGATTAAAAAAACAGAACCCATCATTCTAATGTCTGCAGGAAACACAACTAAATATAAAAGATAAAAACAGACTGAAAATAAAAGGATGGAAAACAATCCTACAAACAAATGGACCCAAAAAGAAGGCAGGAACTGCTATACTTATATCAGATCAAACAGACTTCAAACTAAAAAAGGTTAAAAGAGATACAGAAGGCCACTACATTATGATTAAGGGGACAATACAACAAGAAGAAATAACAATCATCAACATATATGCACCAAATG